AAATAAAAAATATTACATCTAGAACAATCACCCAAAACACGTAACAAGAGGTCCCAGTTCAGTTGCTTTCACGATACAAGTGTCATACAACTACTAGATTTGAAGTGTCGTACAGAATTTAATAATAGTTAATACCAGAGGTACATTACTTGGGGTTTGTAACTACGGTGACATGATACCAAGATCCCGTCACAATCTCGCTCTCGCATAAGCGTTCCAACTCAGAAAAATGCGAATGCGCATGCCCGGGGTAACTAGGATACTGGGATGTCCAGGTGGACCAAAATAGCTGCCCACGGTATGACGGATTACGAGAACTATATTTTCTGTACATTTTCGATGTATTACATTTTTCACTATGATAGCGACAAGAAAAGTTTTATTTTTTCATTACAAACCTTGAACATTGATATGTGTCATGTCAGAAGGTCGTAGCCTCAGTCTCGCTATCTACGAGAAGTGACTTGAATGGGATCTTGACATGATGTCACCATACAGTACTATGCGAGTTGCAAACCCCAAGTAATGTACCTCTGTTAATACTAGTTGTATGTTCACACTTTACTATCAAAACCACCATTTCGACCACCCATGTGCCAGTTTTCAGTGTTTGGGCGAGCGGTCAATGTTTTCAATGAGCGAGCGAGCGAAAAAAAAAACGCGATTAAAATGCGGTCGGTTTCCGGCCGGACAAGACCGCGTGGTCGGAAATTAAGCGATAAGCGGTCGATGTAAAAGCGGAAGGTTGGGCGAAATGAGTACTGTATGACCATGTTTCTCCGACGAAGTCTCGACTGACAATGGACGTTAGATAAACACGCATTGTTTGCAACTGGAAGCTTATCACCCGTTATATCAGAATCGTCAACAACAGAGTATACAGATAAGATGTTATCATTTAAACCCTTTCAAAGATAAACATTATGCAAATATCCACGAAACGGCATAGTCTTTTCTGCTAGTGTTTTAAACACTAATTTGAGCAACGTTATTTCGCAATTTTGATCTTTTGTAAACAGGAGGTGATGTATCAAGGTCTAAAGTAACCGTTTTATCAATTTTTGAAAAATCAAGAAAAAAGTGAAAATTTCCCTTCTCGCTACCTTAAAATGTTTTCAAAGATGTTTTGGAAATTCTGGTGGTCTTATTTTGAAACCAGTTACGTGAATTAAATATAAATTTATTTCGTCCCAACCCCAACTCCCCCATTGTGATGAACTTATGTTTGTTGTCAAATGTAACATTTTAATTTAAAAACAAATTAGATTTAAATGGGAATGCCATGTTTATGTATTGACTGTAACTCTAAAACACACTCGTTTCTATATGTGGCACATTATTCGTGTGTTACAACAATGTCATGTGACTGATGGGGGGGGGGCATTCGGTAGATTATTGAAAAAATGTCTGCAACCTGTACACACATTTTCTTGCATTAATTCATCCCACATTCATCTGAATCAATGCGTGTGCAAATTTTCTCGCGTGATCTTTGTTGGCTAGTTTTGCTGACCAATCACAGAGAGGCTGATTGTGTAACCTACATATTGATCGGTTCTTACTTTAACTTCAGACGAGTAATACAAGTATTACTAGTTTTAACACGATTTTCATGAAGCACTGAAGATATTTTCCAGGCGATAAAAATACAAACGAAAAAGTGGAATCAACGATAAGTACAGTAAAAAATAATTATAATAAAAAAAAATTGTAATTACCAGTAACCAACAAGTGATTTCACTTCCCTTTGGATAGTAACGACACGCCAAGGTAAATTCATTCCACTTATAAAAAAATTCTATCAACCCATTTGTTGGTTTTCACTCTCAGCAAGACTGTATAGATTCTTTTAACAATGAAGCATACGAAATGCTTTTTTTTATTGGGATAGGGAATATACACGAACATGACACAACGCCAGCATATGTGTGCTTTGAATATGTTCATCATAATACTAGTAAACATCTTCTTACCCATTTTTGCGTATTGGCCACTAAGCGTCTTATGTTGACGAAGGTGTTAATTATGATAACACACACATAAAAGAAATACTCCAAATTGCGACGAATAATGTCCTTGCTATTTAAAATTCAAATACATCTATCGCTGAGTCATTTGGTTTCAAGAAAAAAAAACAGCTTTTAAGAAAAATGAATATTAGTATGTAATTCCAGGCGTTTGCATTTCATCAAAAATCTTTTAGTTGAAACCGAAAAATTTATCGTGTTTAGAAATCACATCTTCTATGTACCAGAGTCACAAAAAGTGTCAAGTAGGTTTTTTTATTAAAACGCTGAACAAAATGAAGCTTTGATTTGCGGTCGTTGTGTTTTTAGATCCGTCACTAGAGGGCGCCCTTTTATAGAAATGTTGTACTAATATTATGACCCGGATTACATGACTGTCTTGTGGCCGAAAAGTTGTGTTTGATTGTGCTGAAGCAGACACGCGTTTGTTTTCACGGCAAATACACGCACAAATCAAAATTAAAAAAACAAAACATTTAATTATTAATCTCTGACGAAAATAGGAATTAACATTCGCGTAGTATGTAAAATTGTTCACGTCACAATTCTAGCAATTCAAACAAGAATCCGAATTCCTAAAAAGAAATGCAAAATCTTGCCTCGGGTTTGTGTAGGAAAACACTCGTCACTGTTATTGCACACAGTCGTAAGTGGTTACAGGTCGAAAAACTTATGCAGGGAAAAACTGATTATAACTGGTATTACACGTACTAGTGTACACTCAGTGAAATCCAATGCTAGCCGAGATACTCCATATGTCGGACACTATAAATAAGTTCGACTTAATGTTTCGAAAGCCGTTCACATATTAGACCTGTAATCTGTTCGTTGTGGATAAACCAATCTCGCTATTTGTTTTTTTCTTATGATGTCTGTAAATGTCACGTCACCGCGCCATAAGTTCACACACAACTCGGATGCGTTATTTTTCAGTACATATCGGTTTTCCCGTGGGTCTTTACGGCTAACACGTGATGGGTCAATGCACTCTTCCATAACTTTCTGACGCTGTTCCCGGAAATGATTTAAATCCCTTTCAAAACATGGGCCATATTCGGCTACATTTTTCCACAACGTCCTGTTGAAATGTTCGTACAGTTTCACGTCGGAACGATTCCATTCCAGTATTTCGGCACGCGTTTCATCAGACACTTCCCTGCGGTATTTCTGTCTCCTTATTCCGTTCGGAATATATAGAATGTCATGCAAAGTCCAACACATTTTTTTCCTCAGTACAATCAAGGACTCATCAAAATAATCTGCGATAAGAACAACATCTAATTCCGCGCTCAAAGTTTCAATCTTTCTATTTACCGTGTCATAATCATCGGTTTCCTCTGTTTGCAAACCGAGGTCAAAAAGTTGTCCATTGTGCGCTTGCCACCAAAAGAAGAATTTCTTTTCAAGATATATCCCTGGGTATTCCATGAAAGTTGCGATTGGGTCATCCACTACGCCATTTACTTTCACGATTTCCCGATTCCACAAAAAATACGCGAACGCTGACTCGAACTGCTTTGCAGGGTGACGTAATATTGTGACGTAAGTAGCATTGGGAATGACATCATTCATTTCGCGACGATTGTACCGCACGTGATTGGTCAGCATATCGTAGTACTTCCCGCCATTCAGAGGCGGAGGCGAATATTTCAACATGCTTCTCGTAAAATGATGCGTACTTGATAGAATGTGTGGACCGTATTTTCTATCTGGTGGGACAACGAAAGATAGATTGTGCGAGTATCCGAATCTTTCTATAATTGAAGCAGCGGTAGTACTTCCGGTTTTGTGCGTCTTTATGAATACCACTTTTTTAACTGCTTCGCACGATGTAGGACTCTCAAACTGTTCTCGGCATAATTCGTGCTCCACAGTGGCAACAAGTTCCTTCACAGCATCGACAATGTCAGTTATTGTTGTTTTTTTGCCTGTGTTTTTGTTGGAAATGCAACCGAGCACACCGTTCTTACAAAGTGGGTCTTCAAAATCACTGTGAAACAAGAATTGTACAAGTCAAATGGTCAAATAAAAAGGCAATAAACCTTATACCCAAAATGGCCGCCGAAATCTCGTCGAAAGCGAGGGCGCCACGCGACGTGTGATCTATTCCGCTCATTTGCTTCACTTGTACAAATGTTACAGTATATTATCTAAAAGTGAAATCATCAATGTCGCCAGATTACAGTGTAAGTGGAAATAGAATCTCTAAACAAAAGTATTTGTAATTTCACTAAAAACACAAATAATGATCCAATTATTAAAAAAAAATCGCATTCAGTTTCGAGCTACGTTACTTACTAAACAAACAAAAACCAAACAAAATGACAAGCAAACAAACAGGCAGTGGAGTGTAAAGAAATTTGCCGAAACGTTCTGATATGAAAGTGCTAGGCATGTTTTTGATCATATGTGACGTATTTCACTGAAAAGAATACGCGCGAATTGCGGTATATATATCATCGCATATACGCACATGTTTTTTCTCTCACTTTATTGCCGATAGATAAGATGTGGCTATTTAGATGGCCGCCAGGCGGACTCGACATTACTGTACTATAATTAATTATTAAAATATGAATGACTAAAAGGCGTATCCGATATCATCAGATTGATCAAATAAACGGGAAAATTATTTGGTGTGGTGTGAAGGTTGAATTCGGAATAGTATTCAATCGTACACACTCAATTGCCAACACTTAGTTTCCGAATGGTGTTCACTTCGGCATATACATACTGAAATATCGCGAATTAAATTTGGTTATTTTTTTACCACAAATAGCATATTGTGTTCATACACATCGTAGTAAATTATAATTTATTTATTTATTTATTTATTTATTTATTTATTTATTTATTTATTTATTTATTTATTTATTTATTTATTTATTTATTTATTTATTTATTTATTTATTTATTTATTTATTTATTCAGTCATTTATTTAGTCATTTATTTATTACATGTTGGAATACTAAGACTAAAACTGGAGCACCACTCTTGTCCTGTTATTATAATATTGGTAGTGTGAAAAATATTAAACGTAAACATGTGACACCTCTTTCCATTTCCTGTGAACTCCCATTGTTTGTTCGTTGTCACTTGGCCATTCAATGTAGCTACATATGTAAGGCAATGAATTCAATTATGATACTACTCGTGCAGATTAATGAGTCACGTGATCAATTGAAAAATCAGTGCTATAATATACACTTCAGGATCATAACCTCGTTCAAGGCAGATATTCTCGTTCAAGGCACAACTCACGGGTTTAACTGTTCGTTCTCCGAACTCCGGATAATGTAGTCTGTGCATTTGCGACAGTATGCCGTCTCGACCGTAAGAGCCGGCGATTTTGATAGAATCGATCTGCGTGAGTATCGCATACTGCCCCGGGCGATAGTGTTACTTACCGACTGCTGACGTACTGCGACACACTCCTTCTCCATAGCATGGAATTGGCTTGTCCTAGTTGAATACCAATGAGAAAACACATATATAATATGACGATGACGGCGATATAAGGCACTAAACTATGAAATTTCAGTCTTCTCGGCATTATGAGCTCGCCGTGAATGTGCCGACGACGGACTGACCCCAAACAAAGGGATTATCGTCCAAGCATCGTGTCACAGCTGCGCGGACTGTCCCAAACATACTGGGGGAAAGGATGGGGATACAATGAGGGAATCTGACAGCATAATCAATATTATTTGTTGAAAATCAATACACATCGCGCACGTGTGCGGAACTTGTCACGATATTGTCCCACAATTCACGCATAATACAAAAGATTTAATAAGATTTAATAAGATTTAATAACAAATTTCAAAGACACATATACAATATGATTTTACCTTCGGACACTGTACTTTAAAATATAAACGCGAGTGACGGTTTACTACCAGTAATTCTCTGTTTACCAGTAATTTCCCGATTGCCAGTAATTTTCTTATTAGCAGTAATTCCCAAATTCGACGAAGCGATTCTGTTACTTTAAAATTACGCAAATGCGTGTAAGAAATATTGTTCATATAGATTACTCCGTTTCGTCGTCCATTAATTTAGCAAATTTCTGAAAAATAGTATTTTTATGGACAGACGACCATACAAAACAACATGGGCGCCCGTGAACTTCACACTACTATAGTATAGTATTCGGAGCGTGAACGTATTATTTATTTATTTATTTATAAATGAAATAAATGATGTCATTCTATGAATCTTTAGATCGCTACTCAAGATGTATCATGCCATGTGGAAAATAGAATAATACTACCTTTACTAGTAAGTTAACACATTTAGAAGACATCTTCCTACAACATCCCAGAACAAATCATCTCTTATATTGCTGTGTTTGGCTACTACCTGTACAATGCCGAAAAGTTGCTGCGTGCGTGCATCAAAAAGAAAGATCCAGACATACGATTTTTTTTTATTTTATCGGCAGATTTGATAAGAACAGAGCTCTGGCTTCTCACTACTAGTACCGTTTGTCCAGGACAAAAGTAAACCAGAATAGAAAATAGTTCATAGAATTGCGACATTGTCATAAAAATGGAACTATACTTATGTTTGTTCATATCATTTTATTACTGGTAAGTTTATTGAACCTGTTGTCGTTTTATACTGCACACAATAAATTTACAAGTGGATTTTTTATTATTAACGTTTTTTATTATAAGTCGAGCGCCCTCAAACACTTCCTGTTTCAGAATGACTGAAAGTGAGGTCAGTAGGTATAGAAACTCCACATTCTCCATAGACAGACACATCAGCTATCCAGGAAGTATTGTTTTAAAGATAAGAAACAATGAATTTTGACATTAGTTTTATCATTGACCCAGTGCTATGCCGAAAGATGAACTATGTACTATGTTTATGAAGTGTTTATGATTGGTTTGCGTTGTTTTGTTGTTTGAAAACGTCAAATTGACCACTGTCTGCCATAGAGTGTCCTTAGACCCAATTCGGGTTCAATATCTTAGTTTTGTACTGGAAAAAACATGCATACAACTGATATATTGTATTTAGGAGAAATTAAGAGTTTTGTTTCTATTTCGTTCACTGTTTTACCCTTACAGAGAGGCGGCCACGTGGTTACTATTGTCACAGTCGTCACTCAAATCAAATACGACGATTGATGTTACCAAGAATTGAAAATGTCCGAGTGACTGAAACACCGACGTACCCCCAGATATGTCCAGGTATCAGAATTCGAATAATCAGAAATTTAAAACTCTTAGTGACAATTTATCAATATAGCATGCCTCAATAAAAACTATAACCATAGTGGCACAATTGTTTGCTTTTATAATTCATCTCACGTTCAAACAAATACAACGTGTTGATCGATGCTGTCGCTGACATATATAAAAACGAAAGAAATACACAAGTATTATTGTTTTTTAATTACCAATTTTTAAAAACTAAAAATGTAATACGGATGATAGCATGTCATTTTTATATTTTGTATTAATACTGTATATTGATAAATATATTGGAATATGAACCAATGAGATTTTCTAATGCGCATGCGCACTGGTTGTTTTGGTACGTATAATAACAATTTCTGCAAATGGGCATTAGTGGTTTTGTTTTTCATCTAACGAATTCTGTTGCATGTCCTGCAAACGCAACATTTTTATACATCTTAGTCCGATTTAGTCTATAGTGTGGCGTATCGAATATTAAATATATAAATAATATATTGCATCTGTTATTGCCAGTTACTAGTAATAAACACGTGACAATGACGTCATCTCACACCTAGTGTACTCGAATCACATACGTTTGCATAGCGAAATGATATAAATACATTGCATTTATTGTTGAGAATATTGTCTAAGATAAAATTAACAATTAATTAATATAACTTTGAGCTCTCTAGGAAACGTTGCAAAATATATTTAGTGTAATGTAACGTCTTACGAGATGTTTTCATTGTGGTCTATAGAAACCAGTGACATTTTATGCATATAAGTTGATAGCCGTTCTCGAAAATAGAGTGATATCAAAACAGTTGGGGTCACCAGCCCCTTTTTGAGAAAATGATGGTTGCATTTTTTGCCTGAGTATTATCGGTTTCTATGACGGGGATTGTATGTCACATCATGTCAAAGCGTGATCCGTCGACTGAGTATGTCTCAACTGACGAAATGACCTACCCTAGTGCAAATAATTACTTTTAGTTGTCTTAAATTATTATTTAAAAAAGGGATTTAAAAAATTACACAAAATCAATATTTTTCTCACGTAATTGTTTTAAAAAAACATTTATTGAAATATATATATATATATATATTAGGCCAATGACTTCAAAATATGGCACTCGTGAAACATACATCATGAATGCTGAATCGTGTTGCCATGCAACTGTAGCTCATCGAAATGTTGAGGCGTCTACATTAAACATCGATATACTGACACATCTTTCTGGTCAAACTCATAGGCGACACACACTTATATAATATGAGGTTATTACGAGGATACCTCAAAGTATGCACGAAGACAGTCGGTATAGCGGGAGTATGCGACGGCGTACTGTCTGAGTGCATACTTTGAGGTATCTTCGTAATAACCTTATCATTATTATTATTATACATATTTTCCCTCCAAGATTACATCATGGGAACGCCGAAATCCAAAAGGTTTTAAACAGAATCAGCGAACTTCTTTGTGTGGAGTCCGGTCAAACCCTGGTGGCAGCTATGTCTGTTTTTATTATTCAAGTTAGAGGACGCTTACGCGCGTAATCATTCCATATTTGGAATTCGCATTTCCTAATATGGTAGGATGAAAATACCCCGTAAAATACCGCAAAATTACAGCACACTGTAACTTACGACGTTACGGTGTCAGATGTATAATAATAGTATTTAATTGTTGAGAGGGTGTACAATTCTGGATAACTGTTTATTTCTGATAAACTTGGTGAATGTGACGTCACCACGCCACATGTTGAGGCACAGTTCCGATGCGTTTTCTTTCAGCACGTATCTAGTTTCTCGCGGGTCTTTCTTGACAACTTGACTAGGGCCAATGCACTCATCCATCACTTTCTGTCGCTTCTCACGAAAATATTGTAAATCCCTTTCAAAACAGGGACCGTACTCAGCAATGTTTTGCCAGAGAGTTTTGTTAAAATATTCGAATAGTTTTAAATCGGAATCATTCCAGTCCAAAATGCGCGCACGTGTTTCCTCTGACATCTCCCTGCGGAATTGTTTACTTCGTACGCCGTTCGGTATGTACAATATATCATCCATTGTCCAACAGAATTTCTTTTTTAATATAAGCAACGATTCGTCAAAGTGGTCTGCGATAAGAATAAATTCCATCTCCTTTTCAAGAGCTTGTATTTTTTTGCTCACCGTGGTATGATTATCAGTATCATCCGTACTTAACCCAAGATCAAATAGCTGCCCATTATGCGCCTGCCACCAAAAATAAATTTTGTTTTTAATGTATTTTTCCGGAGTTTCCATAAAAGTCGCTATTTGATCACCCACGTTAACGTCGCCGTGCTCCTTTTTCACGTCCCTGCCCCACAAGAAATATGAGAAAGATGACTCGAAGTGCTTCGCTGGATGACGTATTATAGTTATGTGGGTCGCGTTAGGGAGTACAGCATCCATTTCCGGTCGATTATAACGCACATGATTGGTCAGCATGTCATAATATTCGCCTCCATTCAATGGAGGCGCTGACTTTTTCGCCATGTTGCGGTGGAATAAATGATTCATGGATAAAATGTGTGGCCCGTTTTTTCTATCCGGCGGTACGACAAACGACAAATTTCGCGTATAGCCGTATCTTTCAATGATCGACGCTAAGGTAGTACTCCCGGTTTTGTGTGTCTTTGTGAAAACTACTTTTCTCACTGGTTCGCACATTGGTACGACGTCTACGTGCTCCAAGCAGACATCCTTACTCTCTATTACCAGCTTCTCTATGGCTTGAACAATACTAGCATCACGTGGCTTCCTGAAACAATATACAAAGGTGACGTTAGTTGTGTTATAACATTACCCTCGGGGCCGGTACATAGAACCATGGAAGGTACTAACAGACCGGATGATAGAACTTTCCTAATGGGGACGTTCTCCTGAAATGGGTCTCGTTTTTTTAGATTTGGGGTATAAGTATCGGTCTTATTTCTGGTCAAGATAGGGATATAAATATCGGGAATGGTACTTTGGTATTAATATGGGTATAGATTTTGCAACTATCCAGGTATAAAAATGGTCACACTTTTGAGCACTCAGGTGCACCTCCCTGCCCAGCTATATGTATCAGGGGTAATTCTTCACTCCTCTGGGTTCTCCACACGTGTCAGGGGGAAATCTCGTCTCGTTTCTCTATCGCGTCCCCCTGAAGTACGGGATCGGGGAAGTCACTTAAGCTTTACAGTTAAATAAGACACACACAGCGAAATACGTTTCAACTTTTGTCTTAGTCGATCAGTCGAGCACTCTATAAGACACAGCGCCCTGGGGAAAAATCCCCAAGACTATCGCAATGCTGACCCAAGACTAGCCCAAGACTGGACTGCTTCAAGGTTCGCCCCAAGACTCTCCAGGACTGGACTTAAACCAGACTCTAGACTCTCCAAGAGTGCCTCTGTCCTCCTGTACTCTCCAAGACCAACTAAAAAAACTTTATTCATTTTCAAAACTCTAATCAATTACAAAACAGTATTAAGACTCTAAGGCGTGGCCTTCACACGTTCAACTAATCACACTAAGTACTGAACACGTCATATCTTTTGATTAATCGTTCACTACATTAATAACTACGAATACTAACTGTCAGAAATAGTAGTCAGAATAGCGACGGTTATCTCGAAATTAGTTCCAAATCACTGAGTCGAGTTCCGTCCAGGACCTCGCCTGCCTAAACGATGCCAGACATAACACGGCAATTCGCTCGTAATAAACTAATTAAGTCGATCAACAGATACGCAAAAACAAATTCATCATATATGTATCAACTGCCCCAATCTGATTAAAATCTGATGTAGTGTACGGGCTTTAATTATTTTGGCTATAAACTTATTTTAATTTTATTTTTTATTACTTTTGTTATTAATGCCCTTTTATTTTATTTTATTTTATTATTTTACTTTGATTTTGATTTTGTGATTTTTTTAATTCCGCCCTACCTACATCTGAGCCGATGCCTATGTAACGAGATTTCAACGAGACCCACTATCGACGATTTTAGTCAACGAATCACAGACCTCCTTCTATAGCGCACATGATGACGTCACCGGGCGGAGTCGGGTGGCAAACACTCAAATAAAATGGCGGATTATACCGACGTTAGCGACCGAGAATAACACGGCTTTACGGTAAGTTTATCATTGTCAAATGCAACGAAAGTCATTTTTATGTTAATATTGTGGCTCGAATGGTTCGACTTTAGATCGTTATTTTGCATAGTTATTCTGGGAGTGACGATTTTGTTTCCACCGTTTCGACCGAACACCAGTGTCTTTCCAGTCGCCTGCCCTGGAGACGGGTGATGTTTTGTTGAAGATCGGGCCAACATCATCTACGGTATTGAAGCCGTAGCTGTAAATATTCATCAAATTGTATCAACATTTTGTACATTATACAATAACTCTTTATTAAAGTAATTGAGCTGATTTGGACTGGAATAAAATATTTTT